TTCCGTAGTGATACTGCCTCGGAAACCCAAGGAGGGGTCGCTATGAGTCGGGGCCAACTCGACGGCACATAACAACAACAACAACAACATAACATTTATAACATATAAAAGATATAAAATATAAATTAAATCACTACATATCATATCCAAAACCCAGTATAAAAAATATGACAAATATCTTTAAAGCCCTTTAATACTCTTCATAGTGTACACTTTATAAGCAATTTATCCTAATTTATTAAAAAAGCTAAATTATTCAAAATGAAATACCCCATAAAAAGACCACTGAGGTTTTTCTATGCCTAAGGTGTATGATAACTGAAACAATTTTCCAAATCAAATGCATCTTGGCCATCTTTTGTTTATATTTAAGAGAAAGACGCAGTTGTGTCACAGCTAGAATAGGCCTGGAATATTTTCTCATAAATGCAGATTTCTTCATACATCCAATCCCACCTCCATATAGATTCAGACATAACAATAAAATCTATCCAAAATGTTATATAGAGAGTACTTCTGGCAAGACAAAAAGAAATGAGAAATCAAATGAAACGGATACAGATGATAGTCCTGGAACCCTGAACTTCAAAGGAAAGGATAAAGAAGTGGATCAAATATCGACTAGAAGAAGAACTGAATGATAATTAAAAAAGTAAGACAAATGGAGCTGTGAAGTGTCAAATGGCCTCACACCACAGCCATTTTGAATTTTTGCAGTGTTCTGATTGGGACAGCAAACTGATAGTTGGTTCCACTTGCCAAGGACTACACAGACACCCACACTGAGAGTGACCAGAAAGGAGCAATATTCTTATTCCTCTCATTGCCCCACACACTCCTGATAACCAGAGGTACAGTCATCCCCCACCCCTACTCACCTTCTGGACAGGGGGGAGTTCCATCCAAGCCAGGCGCTGTGCCCTCAGCGACCTTTAGGGCCAATAGCAACTCCCTCTGGAACCAGGCACCCTGCTCCCAGCCACTTTTGGGGACCACCATGAACTCCTTCTGGGATGAGGCACCTACCCAGACACCCCCTAGACAAGAAGAAACACCTTTGGAAAGCATCACCCCCACTATCTGCACTCAGCCAGTAGGAATACCACCCAAGTATCCCACCAGTTCTCTGTTTTTTTCTTTTTCCTTTGCTTTCCCTTCCCTTATTTTTGTGGGTTTGTTTTTTGTTGGGTTTTTTTTTTTTTTTTTTCCTTTTTCTTGCTCTTTCTCTTTTTCTCTCTCATCCCTTGTTATTCTTTTTGTATTTTTCCAACTTTTGTAATCTGTTCCCCGCACTTTGCTCTCTTTTCTTTCTTTCCCCTCTCCAGTTTTGGGAGTTTCATATATTTTTCTCCTTCCCCTGATTTTTTTTTTTTTAATTTGTTTCTTTTTTCTGTTTTGGTGGGTTCCTTTTTTTTCCCCCTTTCTTTTTTTTTTCTGTTTTTATTTTATTTAATATTTCTTTATTTCTTATGCAGCTTGAGGATGTGGAATGAGAGATATAGCTGATGTCAGATGGATCTTGACTCAAAGCAAAGAATACCAGAAAGATGTTTATTTGTGTTTTAGACTATGCAAAAGCATTTGCTTGTGTGGATCATAACAAATTATGGGTAACATTGAGAAGAATGGGTGTTCTGGAACAATTGTACTCATGAGGAACCTGTACATAAACCAGGAGGCTGTCGTTCAAACAGAACAAGGGGATACTGCCTGGTTTACAATCAGGAAGGGAGTGCATCAGGGTTGTGCCCTTTCACCATACATACACAATCTGCATGCTGAGCAAATAATCAGACAACCTGGAGTATATGAAGAAGAATGTGGCATCAGGATTGAAGGAAGACTCATTAACAACCTGTGATACACATATGACACAACTTTGCTTGCTGAAAGTGAGGACAACTTGAAGCACTTACTGATGAAGATTGGAGACTACAGTCTGCAGTATGGATTACACCTCAATATAAAGAAAACAAAAACCGTCACAACTGGACCAATAAGCAGCATCACAATAAATGCAGAAAAGATTGAAGTTGTCAAAGACTTTATAATACTTGCTTGGTTCTACAATCAACACCAATGGAAGCAGCAGTCAAGACATCAGATGACGTATTGCATTGGGCAAATCTGCTGCAAAAGACCTCTTTCAAGTGATGAAGAGCAAAGATGTGTCCTTGAAGACTAAGGTGTGCCTAACCCAAGCCATGGTATTCTCAATTGTCTCATATGCATGTGAGAGCTGAACAATGAATAAGGAAGACTGAAGAAGAGTTGATGCTTTTGAAGTGTGGTGTTGGCAAAGAATGCTGAAAGTACCATAGACTACTAAAATACCTAACAAATCTGTCCTAGAAGAAGTGCAGCCAGAATGCTCCTTGGAAGCAAGAACAGCTAGATTTCATCCACCTACTTTGGTAATGTTGTCAGAAGGGACCATTCTCTGGAGAAGGATATCATGCTTGGTAAAGTAGAGGGTCACTGAAAAGAGGAAGGCCCTCAACGAGATGGATTGACACAGTGGCTGCAATAATGGGCACAGGTATAGCAAGGATCATGAGGCTGGCACAGGATTGGGCAGTGTTTCTTCTAGTGTATGTAAGGTTGCTATGAATCAGAGACGACTTGTCAGCACCTAATAACAAGAGTTTGTATTTTATGGAATCTTGGGTTTTACTATTGCTATTGTTTTGTTTTGTTTGTACCAAACAAACAGGATTCAGCAACATGCCCATACTACACAACCATATCCATATCTTCTGCAGTCCCAACCAGTGGGCATGAGCCAAAACCTGCATCTGCCCAACCAATCAATAACAGACAGCATCCAATACCAGCCCAATCTGCCCTCAACTGCTCTACACAAATAGAAAACTGTGCACACATTCTCATCTTTTATCACACCCACCAGGAGACAGATGGTGAGTACCTAAGTGCTACAAACTAGAGAACAGAGTAGCACACCAGCCCCCATCATATTAATATATCGAACAAAATAAAGCAAAGAAGAAAGGAAAAAAGAAGAAGAAAAACTATGCAAAATACAATCACCAATTAAATGTAAGTACAAGATCACAAAGTCTTAGAGGCAACAGACAACTTCAGTTCACACAAAGAAGCAAGATAAACTAGTACAAACAAGGGACCAAAATACAGAGCCAGAAAATCTCCCTGAGGAAGTAATGTTATTGGAACTACCTGATAAGGAATTCAAAATAATTATATTTAGGAACCTTTAATGGATTGAGAGAAAGAACAAGGAAACCACTGAAAATATCAAAGAAAACACAGACAAACTGCTAGAAGAATTTAGGAACACAACACAAGAACACACTGACAAAATAAATGAAAAATAGAAAGCATACCAAAACAGCAAAAAGAAATCCAGAAGATTAACACTAAGATTTCAAAAATATATAGCACATTGAAAAGGAAAAAAAAAAAAAACCCAGAAATGGATCAATGGAACACCAAATTAGTTAAACTGAAGACAAACCTCTCAATACCACTCTATAGGAGAAACAACCTGGAGGGGGGAGGGGGATTAAGACAGCCTAAGATTTATATGGTACTCCATCAACAGGTAACAGGAATACCTTATGTGTGATTGGAATACTAGAACAGGAAAAGACCAAAAAATAAAAACCCACAGAGAATACTGTCAAAGATATTTTGAATGAAAAATTCACTAATATGATGAAAGATGAAGAGATATTCATTCAAGAAGCTCAATGAACCCCAAACAGGAAATACCTCAAAAGGAAATCACCAAGAGATATCATTATCAAACCTTCCAAAACCAAAGACAAAAAAAGAATTCTGAAAGCAGCTCAGGGGAAATGAAAAATCACCTACAAAGGACAACCAGTAAGACTGAGCTCTGA